AATATTTTTATTAATTTTTAAAAAATAAAACGGATAAATATTATTATTATTTTTTATTTAATTTTATCCTTTTAACATATGATCAATAATTTTTTTTTTAAAAAAAAAAAACAACACTCACCTGACCCTTTGAGTCAAGTGAACTTTAAACTACCTTGAAGGCGCAGTTACTCCTCCCTTGTTCAAAAAAAAGAAAACAACACTATTGACTATTTTGAGAGAACATCATCCTTTAAATGTAGCCGTCCGCAGCAAAATACCGCCCCAGTAGGGTTTTTAAGATTAGGTTCTGCCCCTGCCGTCACTTCACTGCCGCACTGGTTAGGGTTTTCCTTATCTCCCACTTCTTCTTCCTCATTTCGCATTTTCCCCAATCCTTCCTTTCTTACACTTAGATCTTTCTCTTCATGGCTTTAAACAGACAATAGGGTTCTCTCGGTTGCTGTTTCCAAGTTCCAAGGACTTAAGGTATCCCATACATTTCTCTCCAAGTAGTGAAGAAAATGGCAACCATGAACCCTTTTGATTTATTGGGAGATGATGATAACGAGGACCCCAGTCTTCTTGTGGCTGCGCAGGAGCACAAGCCCAAGAAAGCTCCGGTCACTGCTCCGGCTAAGGCTCCCTCCACTAAGCCTGCTCAACTCCCTACCAAGCCTCCTCCCCCAACTCAAGCTGGTAAGTTTCCGATCCTTAGACCATTTTTTTCACTAAATCTGTTTCGTTTAAGAAATTAACTTCATCTTGTGATAATTTGATATTTTCTTGATATTGGGTTGCGGATGCTTTTTGGCTTGTTGGTACTGAATTGGCGTGGAGAAACTTGTTTAGCTTTGTATCTGCTATTTTTCACTCATGCAAATGGCTGATGTTTTGAGGTTCACATTTGATTTTTGCCTTTTTGGATTTTCTTTGAGTATGTTGTTAATGTGGAAACAATTGGGGTGAGAATATATGACATTTTTTAAATCTAGTTTCGGTTATTTATTCATTAAAATTGCTTTTGTAATGGTTGCATTGATTTATGTGTGTGATTGTATTTCACATACTTTGGTGCTGGTTGCTACTGAAATTTGGATTCTGTTTGGTACATACACTGCCTCCAAATTTTGTGCTGATCCCATGTCCATATTTTTTCACTTGTTGAGCAGTGAGGGAGTCAAGGAATGAATCCGGCCGTGAAGGGGGCCGTGGAGGAGGCCGTGGTCGTGGTGGTGGACGTGGCTATGGGCGTGGACGTGGTAACAGAGACGGTGACAGGGATAGAGAATTCAACAGGGATAGGGAATTCAACAGGGACAGAGAATTCAACAGAGACAGGGAATTCAACAGGGACAGGGAATTCAACAGGGATTCTAACACTAATGATGATTCCAATGGATTTTCTGGAGGTTATAGACCCTCTGAAGAAGGAGATGGGAGGCCATCTGAACGTCGTGGTGGCTATGGTGGTCCTCGGGGTTCATTCCGTGGGGGTCGCCATGGAGGTTTCAGCAATGGAGAATCTGGAGAAAGTGAAGGAGAGCGCCCTCGTCGGTTCTATGATCGTCGCAGTGGCACTGGACGTGGGTGAGTTGACACTACAGGACATACTGAGTTTCAGTTAACAGACCATGATTTTTATAATTATCTCTGCAAGATTGCCAAAAATCTTCCCTAATACAGTGAATAAGTTTCATCTGTTATGCGGTTATCTAATTAGTGTTTTCCATAATTTTAAATGTCATTTATTCACCTCTTTCTCATAATCAGGAGTGAGGTCAAGCGTGATGGGTCTGGGCGTGGTAACTGGGGAGCTCCCACTGATGAAATTGCTCCGTGAGTATCTGTCCTGACATTCTAAGCTACGTCCTTGAGTTTTCTTTTGTGATATGTTCAGCATTTTTAAGGTTCAAAATAACTTGATACTTATTTGTGCATATGTCTGCAATTTTTGGGACAATAAAGAGAGACTGAAGAGCCTGTTGTTGAGAATGAAAAGAATGTAGATGCTGAGAAACAGTCTGCTGAGGAAGGTACTGTGGACACTGGCAAGGAAAATGCTGTGAATGAACCAGAAGAGAAGGAGCCTGAGAATAAGGTAGATTCCCTTGTTTAATTACTTTTGGGTTTTTGTTTTCAGCTGCTAGATATGGTATGGCTATTGTGACAACTATGACCAATGAAAAGATGTATTCCAGTTGCCATCCTCCCTGTTTTTCAAACTCCAGGCTTAAATTATGGCTTAGATGGTAACCAGAATGGCTCTAAACTAGTTGTCCGTCCATCAGCATTTAATCTGTGATTGGCAAAATCTGTTTAAAATTTTTATAATGTTTATAAGATTTGCAAAGAGCCTGAGATTAAGTTATAATTCTAAATTCTAATCTCAACTTTAGTGTGAGCTTGATTTCTGGGCCGTTTCTGGTTTCTTTATGCTGTAAGCTACTTTGGTATTATGGGATTATGATCCTCTATAGTATCGATGTCTTTGTGCCAACTGCTTTGATATTCTTCTCCTGTGGACATTAGGTTGTCCCTCTGTGGGATATATTAGTTGAATACAACTTTCAAAGAGTTTCAAATATCAGTAACTGTCATTCGTCCTCTAAAATTGGACATGTCTGAATATATTCTTGTTTGTCTCTACATAACAGGAGATGACTCTGGAAGAGTACCAGAAGGTACTTGAGGAGAAAAGAAAGGCTCTGCTTGCCCTGAAGACTGAAGAGAGGAAAGTTGATGTGGACAAAGAGTTTAAATCCATGCAGCAGCTCTCAAATAAGAAGAGCACTGATGAAATCTTTATCAAATTGGTAAGGGATTCAATGCTAAATTGGGTATCCTATTTGGTTACATTGAGACATATGCCAGCTTTTTTACTTCACTTTTGTTTGTCAGGGTTCTGAGAAGGACAAACGCAAAGATGCTGCTGATAAGGAAGAAAAAGCCAAAAAGGTTTTTGCATCTCTCTCTCTTTGAATTACATTGTTCATCAATGTGCATGTTTTGGGTTCGATCACAGTTTTCTTGTTTCCCTTGCTTGGTTGTTTGGTCATGCTTCTGCTTGTGCTTTTTGTTGTGACTGGGAACATATTTTACTTGTGCGTTTACCACTGTCATTGGTGTGATCTTCCTACTTTTTGTAGGCATGGAGTTGCGTCTTTTTCAAGCCTAATGTGTTTTTTTCTTGTTGCAGTCTGTCAGCATTAATGAGTTCCTGAAGCCCGCTGAAGGGGAAAGGTACTATAACCCTTCTGGGCGTGGGAGAGGCCGTGGCCGTGGTTCCAGAGGTGGATATGGAGGCCACAACTCAACTGGCAATGTCCATACCCCCAAAATTGAGGATGCAGGGGAGTTCCCTTCTTTGGGAGGGGGCAAGTGAGATTCATCCACTTCTGCCTTCTGGCTATGTGCCCTATTGAAAATTCTGAATTAAGACTATCAACAGGAACCATTTTCTTTATTAGAAACCGGTCTTTAATTTACAAGATTTGAGTGTAAATTTTAGTTATTAACCCATGGGTCAATACTCTTGTGGTTTTTTTTTTTTTCTTGATTTTAAACAATGCCCCATTTTTTTGCTGAACTTAGGGCACATGGGTTGTTATTGCAACTTAGTAGCATCAGTTTTGGCTTTGGATTAGGTCCCCATTGCTTTTAGTCCTTGACTTGCCTTTGAGCATCTTTCTCTTAAATTATTCCTGTTATTTTGGTGCGTCAAGAATAATGAGTTGAGGTCTTGTTTTACCAAAGAAAAGGAAGAATTGCTTTCTTTTTGCCTTCAATTAAAAAATGTATGTAGGAGATTGATGGATAAGACTGTAGCTACTTGGAACTCAATTTCTGAAGGCCTAGGCATTTAAAATGCCTGGGAAAATAACGGAAGCCCTACAACTGTTTGATTTTGATAAGATTCCCCAACAAGATGCTGTCCCTTATAATTAGAACGTGCAGCTTTGGTAATACATACCGGGTTTTGTAAAGAATGAGAAAATGGACAAAGTGTGGGAGATGATTCTTGCAATGCCAGAGAAAGAATAATGTTACTTGGGGTGCAATGATTTCGGGGTATGTTGAGTGTGGGGAATTAGATTTGGGTGTGGAGTTGTTTGAGTTGGCGCTTGTTGAGAGGGTGGTGGCCTGGACTGCCAATGATAAATGGGTATATGAAGTCGGAATGATAGAGTTGGCAGTGAGAGGCTGTTTAAGGAGAAGACACTGTCAAATTTGGTGACATAGTTTGAAGGTTTTCCGGATGATGCTGGGGTATGCTATTATTAAGCCTAGTTCTTCAATCTTTACTTCTTTAGTAGTGCTTTACTGGGTTGTATACTTGTATGAATTGTCTGCATTACAGCTGGGCAAGCATCATCATCTCGTTTGCAATTCTCCTTTGTCTAACGACTCCACTGCTGGAATTTCATTTATTGACATGTATTACAAGCGTGGAGTTTTAGAGGATTCTTGGTAACTGTTGAGATAACAAGAAGGATGTTGTTACTCAGAATGCAATATAAAAGCCAGATTGAATCAGCTAACTGGCCCCTGTTCATGAAAACTGAACGAGCTGGAGATGAAGAATGCAAATGATAATATCAACTAACAAACTGAATAAATTGCTACGCAACAGGGGCATAATGAAGAATGCAATTAATGCTATTAATTGCTTCTCCTACTCTGTACTTCTTTTCTTTTTTTTTTTCATTTTTCAAATTTAAATACAATTAAAAGAATGAAAGTTTAACAAAGGTATTGAACTGACAGGGAAAATAGATTATGATGAATAATTCTTCACATTGAAGTATTAAAGGAACTAGTTTTACATGCAGCGAAAGAACACAGCAAAACAATGGAGCAAACTAGTTTTAAAATTGATTCCCTTTTAAGAAGAGCAGCAACCAGACTTCTGGTTCACAGGCTGTCCTCGAATCTGCACTGTTGGGGGCCTTGCGTTGTTTGAGGCTGGTTGGCTGGCCATCCTGCAGAAAAAAGCGTGAGAAGATTAGGAACAATAATTTACTGAAGAAAAAAATATATATGAAAGTGCTCTCCTTGAGCAAAGCAACCTAGACAATGTTAAGCACACTACCTGTTCTTGATTGCAGCAGCCATGGCCATGAAAGCTTGTTCAACGTTAGTGGCGCTCTTTGCACTTGTTTCCATGAAAGGAATTCCAATTTCATCTGCAAATGCCTGTAGCAAGAAAAAAGTCATGTAGCAACTAAGAAGAGTGCCAACTTCCATCAATTTTTTGAACAGAGACATGAGTAACCACCAAATTTACCTTAGCTGTCTCATAGGACACAACTTTATTTGATGTGAGATCACACTTGTTCCCAACTAAAAGCTTGTTCACATTTTCACTCGCATAGCGGTCAATTTCATTCAACCATTGTTTGACATTGTTAAAACTCTCTTGGTCTGTCACATCATAAACAACCTGCGCAGAAAACCTCCTGCATGAGTTCTAATGCTAAAAAGAAATAACCTGAAAACAAGCACTGAGAATAGAATTGAAAAATGCACCACTTACGATGATACCATGGGCCCCACGATAGTAGCTGCTGGTAATTGTCCTGAAACGTTCTTGGCCAGCAGTGTCCCACTGCAAGTCCAATGAGAAGCAGAAAAGTCAATAAGAAATGAAAAGCGACAGAAACAATACTAAGGTTTCTAACTTCGAACTTCAAAGGGTATCCCAAGTTATTGTAAGAAATAGGAGATCTATGAATATAAGTCCTGGAATACCAGAGGACTTCTAAAATTAAAATCAACTTAGGTTGATCCTGCCAAAATCTAAGTATGCTTCCAGTAGTTCTGAAAATTTAACCATATCTAGGAAGTCAAAAAGACTCGAAAAACTTACAATTTGGAGTTTAATGGTTTTCCCATCCTGTTCCACAGTGCGGATTTTCTACAAAAGAGAAAATATTCAAACTTAGTTTATAAATTGTACTTATCATGTATGTTGAAGTTAAGGATGCAAGATATACTCATGCAGAAAATAGTACTCACAAAGTCGACGCCGATGGTGCTGATGTAACTCTCCAGATATGAATCATCCTGTATAGCAGGAGTAATGAAACAGTTAAGATGTTCTCATCCCTACAAAAATAAGTCATCCTGTAGGTATCCTGGTATTTTCTATATACCAAAACAGATGAAACAGGAAGTCATACGAACAGTGTTTTATTTGGTTTCAGAAAACAATTTGTGAATGGAAGCCTGAAAAAACAGCAGTCTATAGTTACACTAAGATTAATTGTTGCATTAAGAAAGTTGATGCTCATAGCTAAAACATAAGTTTAAGTTGCACAAATACAGTTACGATAACATCATCCAATGAAAAAGTAAAGGTGAAAAGAATTCTGATGCATAGATTTAGGCGGGGCCAAACTTACAGCAAACCTCAAAAGTAGACATGACTTGCCAACTCCAGAATCTCCAATAAGCAAAAGCTTAAACAGATAATCACTGCAAATAAGAGAAAAAAGAAACATCAGTGGAAAAGAACAGAGCAATATACTTTAGGACCACGATTCTCAATTTAAGAAACTGCCATCATTCAACTTAATAAAGGATTAGTCCATACCACTACTTGAAACCATAACATCCATAAGCAACCAAGCTCCCGTTTTTAAGTTCCACCATCATATAGAGGATCTAAAAAAAATGAAAGCCAAAGCTTTCTTTCTGATACATATGCCACGCCATGAACATTCTTGAAATCCCCACTCAATCATTTCCATACTTTAGCTAAGCTCATTCATATCCGTGATACAGCAGAATTCCTCTAGAATCTAAGCTAAAGTTAACGTTCTACAGCATATTCCAAATCATTTCCAATTAATTTGCTATAATGCAAAAGATTCTATTAATAGATCTGACCAAAAAGAATACATGGATCTGATTCATAAGGACAATCACCGAAGAAAACAAAAACATAATCAATCTTTACTAAAATTAAAAAAAAAAAATGGCGAATTCAAGATAATCGAGAACTTAAACAGATCCGTACAGATTCGAACGAAAACACGCCTGATGAACAAAAATTCAAGGAAAACAAATCGCAATTCAATGGCAAATCTTAACATCTTGGGGACAAATGAAGCTTACTATTCGTTATTCATGGTCGTGGATGAGGGCCTTCGTAGATGATCGTGAAAAAGACGATGGCGCTCTCCGCCGCTAAACCGATACCCAACGGAAAAACTGATATCCTGGCCGAAGAGAGAGGAGGGAGAAATCGGAGAAGTGTGAAAGATGCGTGTTTGGCCGCTTATTGTTATGGAATGAACCAAAATTGTGGGAATTTTCGTGGATTAAATAGATTCGGTGAAAATTAATAATTAAAAAAAAAAAATAGAGAAAGTGGATCGATGACGTAGCAACAGGAAACTCGTGGATGCCACGTGTTATGCACCTCGAGTTTCTTAGTTGCTTCGCGTTACGTGTCGGCATCAACGAAGGGAAATAATTTTAAAATTATTTTTTTTTCTTATTTGTTTTATACGATTCGAGGTGTTATTTACTTAATTGATTTTTTTAATATATATAATTAATTTTTTATTTATATAAATTTTATAATATTAAATAT